AACGTGCTCATGCAGCAGGTGTCCCAGGAAATCGAGCGCTATCACTTGCTGTACATCACGGCAGAAGAGGTGAGTTTGAATTGGGTCCCAGACATTATTTTTATTCGAGCATCGAACGGAACGGCGAGAAGGGCCCCGAGCTGGCCACGGTGGCAAGTGAACGTAGGGGTACGAGCGAGCTGCAGTAAGTTCGTCGTTCTTCCTGGTGGCGTTGTTATTACTCGTATGTTTATCTTATCTTCATTTTTTCCTTTCAACCCCTCCCACCCTTCCTTCCGCCTGCGCCGCTGCTGTTGTGCAATTGGACACCCGTGAAATTCTGCCTTGGTGGCGGCAAACAGGTCGCAAGACTTTCCCGTACCTGGCACCGGTAGCGCAGCAAGTATTCGGGAACCAGGCGGGTGCCGCGCAGGTAGAGCGCGACTTCAGTGGCTGCGCCAATCTCCTCACACGCAACAGGAGCCGCATGGACACCTACTGGGTAGAGATGGTGATGTTCCTCCACGCCAACTTCGAGCACATCCCCGGGTTCAAGGACATTCCCATGATTGCCGCGAAGGATATTCACACATGTCTGCCGCCACGGTTCAACAGGGGGGATGCTGACCTGGCGGCCGCTGAGGCCGCCTTCGACGTGATTGAAAACACCGAAACTGGGGACGTCGGCCTGTGAAGGTCGCGAGCGTTGAATGAGTAGTCTATGTTTCTTGGCCTACGGAAATACGTCGTGGCGTCAACGTAGATTGAATCGGAGTGGGATTGGAAGGATTTTGCTCCGGGTGGGGGCCCTAGGAATACAGTAACAACCCCAGCCTCGGGCTAAGCTATTACTTGAGAGGTTCTTAAGTGTGGGCGCGTTCTTTATGCTGTGAGAAAGAAGTATACCGACGAGAAGGCTCCTTCCCCTTGGCATATCAAACAACCAAGTATTCAAGCTGTCGTTCATCACCGAGGTGGATGACATCAACACAAAATACCCACACCCGTTTCCTGTGAATAACGGTGAAAACATAGCAAGCACCGCCGTCAGTGACCGCGTTCAACTGCGTGATTGGAAACGTGCTGCATGTTAGCATGCCGCGTTCGCAGTTTGTCGCCAGTTAAGAAAAATAATTGCAACGCATATGTTACAGTGCTTCGATCACCAAACAAAAATAAGGCCAACACAAACAGTGTGAGGTCTGTGGTGTGTCGGAAAAGGCTGTCGCAAGCAAGAAGCTCAGTATACTAAATGCATATTCTCCTTTTCCGAAATGCCCTTTGAAACGAGCGAACCATACTATCTACAGAACGCGCCACCAGGAGTTGCAAAATTGAGCCTGAAAATGTAAAAATTTAAGTACTTGAGCACCATTTGCAAGCTCGGATAAGAACCCCCACAACAAACCTAATAGCGACCATTCGTAGCATTTGTATCATCCCCCGTACCCTACAGGATTATTCTGTGCGTTCTGTAACAGCCCCCGTATCCTACAGAATNGCATTTGTATCATCCCCCGTACCCTACAGAATAATTCTGTGTGATTCTGTGATGCTCCTTAACCTACAGAATAGTTCTGTGACGTCCATTCACAATACCCCATCTGCACAGAAAGATCTGTATCACCCCCCGTACCCTACAGGATTATTCTGTGCGTTCTGTAACAGCCCCCGTATCCTACAGAATGTCCGCAAACACCTTATTATCTAGAGATTGCCACAGTACTTGAATGACCTACCCGCTTTTCTCAGCGGTTCAGACCTTTCTCGCGGGCGTGTTGTTCCTCCAACGTGCAGCAAGCGCAACCAACCACGGAGTATGCTACAGACAGACTAGACGTGCGTTTTCGAAACTGCTGTAGACTATAGCTACAGGTACCTACCATTGACCACGCAAGGTGTTTTTCGCTGTTACCCGCTTCGTATGGCTGCCTGTGCTGGAAAGAATGTAACGCTGCTTCAAAGAAGATGGAAGACTCTCAAAGTCGCGAACAGTCCCCGGAAACAGACGGGAAAAGAACACCCGAACAGACTCCACTGCCAACGACCAGCCAACACATCCTATACAGCAGTTGATGCAAATTATGGCACAGAACTGCTGTATATTATGAGGACCAGAGATAGAAAAAGATTAGACTAGATCGTTCCCAGCGCTGTCACGAAATGAAGGGAGAGGCAATATTTGAGACAGTAAGGGTAGTCGTTCTGTGAGGTCATGTGTACTTTCTTTAAATAAATATTTGACACAGACAGCCAGATCACCGTCTCGCTCTTCAATTTCCAACCAACCCTCCTCTGTTTCCACAGGAAAACAGATGCTCTGTTGAGACCATTCAGTCGTCAGCCCCCGGTCACCGACCTTGGGGGCTTTGCCGCTGGATAGACTTAGTGGAGGACCCCGACCTAGCTGCATCTATCTATTATCTCTAGATCTTCTGGCCCGGTCGTAACGTCGCAACAGCCCAGCACTAGTTTCTCTGTTCTCAGTTGTCGTTCTCCAACAAACTGATCCTGTTGAAAATGAGTGTCGTTCGCTCTTCGCATGAAATAAGGAAACACTCATTCATTCCCTTCCTATTCACGAGGAGTGGCAACACCGACCCTCGTAGGAGGTGATGCCACTGTTTGATCCCAAACTATCTGAGAAGAACTGACGTAAAATATAGATTAGAAAAAATAATTAGGAATAATTCCTCTTTGAAGGCATCATATTCATTCCAGAGGTGGTTTAGTTGTGAAAATGTGTGTGGGCCGAGTGAGTTACCAACGCGACCTAGAGTCAACAGGTCATTATACGACGAAAGCGCATACGGGACGCCGATGCGCCAACATTCATTCTGCCTAAGCCAGAAGTGTGCGACCGTGTGCGACAACGCGCGCAGTTTCTCTCCTCTTCACCAGTTCACTGTCTTCCTGCTCTATCGCTCACTTGTGCTCATCTTCTCGAGCAATATGGTTTGAAAGGGTGGAACCTCATCAAGGGATTCAGATGAATTCGTTCGTTACGACAGTTAAGACTATATGTCAACAACATGATGAAATCATGCACGAGCAGCCCATGGGCGGCCAATGAGTGCCCTTCAACCGGAACCGGTGTTGTTCTCCTAAACAACCGACCATCTGTCTTGACAGCTAATAACCCTATCGCTAACCCTATCCCTAACCCCAAGCCCACACGACGTGCTAGGTTGGCGCTCGGCTTATTTCTACGTTGATATGCCGCTGGCGAAGCTCTCGGTTGATATGCCGAGGTGTGACAAGTTCTAGGTTTGTAATGCCTAGGGTGGGCAATTCGTGGACAGTTTATAGGCTGCCCATGGGTGCTCCATTGGCGGTTTAGCAAACCTGCCAGTAGTGCTGGAGATTGCGTCTTGTGTGGTGGTTAATGTCGACGAAGAGGCCCTAATACGCTCAGAAATTGCGGGCGCGAGAGTCTGACACAGCCTGCAAAAAAAAACGGTCTGTCTGCGGAGATCAGTTCTTTTTTTGCCAGGCGCAAGTAGGTTTGGATGATCTATCGGTGATCCCTCCCCACACACCGAAGCAACAGCAAGGACGATGACATGCGCCACGAGCTGTGTATATGGCTTTCTTCCCTCGCCAGTGCCGTCATGCCCCTCCCAGCGGTGTTGTGTGTCCAGCTGAGTGGTTGCTCTGTTTCTCCTGGTTTGAAGCGAGTAACTGCTGCGCGTGTGGGGGGGGGGAGGGCGATCTCCGCTTTTGTGTTCCTTTGTCTCTCTCGTCCAACCCCCGGGGAAAGGGGTCAATATATCCGTTGATCTTGGGGGCAACCACTTATCACGCACGGCCATCTGTTCTTGGAGTGCTACGAAACTGTGTGTCAAAGAATGCCCAAATTACCTTCCTCCTCACAAGCCAACAGACCGAAAATCGGTGCTCTATGTACAGCTTGTTCTGATCGAACAATGGCGACAATTTTTGGACGGTCAATATATAATATGGCAGAGATTGCAGTGCAGAAGGGCCCCCACATCGCGTTGATTGGAAGTACCCTATATTTTTGTCCTTTTTTCCCCTCCTGGAGATGAAGGGAACAAATGTCGCGCTTCGCGCTCCGCGGCTCATTAAAAAAACTGCGCAACCTTGTGTAGCTACATCTCTCAATGCGGCAGATCAACAATAATGTTACCGCCTCTGTTGTATTCTTGTTCCCGTATTCGAACCACTTCATAAAAGTGTTGGACTGAGTGAGTCCTCCTGTGTCTGCAGGGAAGACTCGCCCCCAAGATTCACTACGGCGCGGTCGCTTCGCACCCGCCGATGGTGTCGATGAAGGCGCGGTAACAAATCCGGCAATTGAGCAACGTTTGGGTCCTACAAGTCTTATGGGGATATTCGGAGCCACCGGGGTAGTAGCAGGGGCTCCTTGTTACGTGTGCGTTGCAATGAAGGCTAGCTGTGTGATGACTTCATAGGGTCCACCCCCAAAAAGTCCACTTTTCACGTTCATCACGCCTTCCCCCCCTTTTTGAGATCGCGAGATGTGGAAGACTCGCAACCGCACAGCAGCAAGATCTCCGCGCTGGGGACAAAAATCCCCCTACTTGACATTGACATTGACATGGAAGCGTTGTGGTTGTCTCGCTGCGCATTGTGACCTCTCCGCTCGCTGAGGCCCAAAAAACTGTCTTTGAATACACTCCTCTCTCGCTCTCCCGCGGGACTGACTGACTCCTTGTGTGACTCGTCCTTCACCACATCGAAACGAGACAACCACAACGCTGCGGGAGGGGTTCGGAAGCGGGCGGCCTATCGCCTCCGAAGCGTCGAACATGGACGGAAGGAAACGCAGCCGCCGCCGCGCTTCAGTAGACCAGCCGAGAGAGCCAAACACACGAAGCATTTGGCAATCCCCTCCCTCGCCAGCGCCTTCCGAAATGCGATCTCCGAGTCCACGGTCTGGCCTACGGCCTCGACCTCCTTCCCCGCCTTGAGGGCCTTCTCATAGCCTGACTGGCCCACAATAGGGTCGTAGCTGGCGACGAGGGCATCGCATGCCAAGGATGGCGTCGAGGGCCATGTCCGCAAGGGTCGTCCCCCCCCCCCTACCAAACCAGCGTCATGCCCAGACTCCCTGGTGGCGAACGCACCCAGTTTGCGCCAGACGGGTAGGGTGTCGACGTCTTAGTCGATGGGGACGAGGACTGCCATGTCCTCGTTCCGCGGCAAAGCCGGTGGCACAGGCGCCGTACACGGCGTCGTGGGGGGAGATGCATTTTGGCGTAATTTATCTTCTAGGCTAAAAGGTGTACAGCGGCAGGCTAGAGCTTACGTCAAGAAAGTGCAAGATGTGGATGCGCACCGAGAACACACACACAGCGGTACAAAGCCGGGGTGATAGGCCGCGAGGCAAGCGAAATATGACGCGTCAGCATGCAATCTTACGACCTACAGCAGTGAGTGGTATCTGGGTTGGAGTATCCGACATCAGCGCGGAAATTCATTGGTTCGTATAACTCTGTATCTCGAAAACCTCAGAGGGGCCTGGTTCGGTGTATGGTGGATGACGTAAAGCGGGGTTTCGGAGGTTTAGAAATCGGGCAAAAACCAGGTGCTTTTCGGACAGTGGGTGTAGGTCAAGACCAACATCGAGTGTATGATAACGCAAGTACTGTAGAATGAAGGGGGTGTGCCCGCCAGGTTTTCGGAAGAACGCGAGTGCTTTTTCGAGGCCTTGCGCGCCGCGATGCTGTTCGGGGCATAATTGTTGTGCTCGGAAGTTCGAAAACGGCGATGCTCATGCGCCGTCTAGGCCGTGGGCTCGTCACCCACACGTCAGAACCACGCTTCGAACGGAGGTTTGGCTTCCGTGTGTTCGTATGCCCCTTGGATATACTCAGTTTAGGGCTGTAGTTGATCACTTTTGATAAGATGACAAGCAGAAACACAGAGGACGCGGAAAGGAAGTCCCGAGAGACCACATTCTCGAGAGCCCTGAAAATCACCCAAAGTAACCCAAGGTTCTACAGTTCTACAGTACCTAAAGTTCTGACTGCGGAACTACATGAAATGTCGCATCCAAGAAAAAAATATATCCATGCTCGGACGAACACCGTGTTGGAGGCTGCTGTGACAATGGTCTTCCCACACCGGTTTTAGAAGTAGCCGGGTACACCCGATTTGTCCATTCCCTTGTAAGTTTTCTGTTCCTCCATGGCGCTGCGTGCCTGCTATGTCTTGATCAGGGTTCAGCTTTCCGATTCCCTTTCGGTATGTATGTACTCACGAGATGTTCAGCCTTTTTCAGTTTCTACTATCGAAAACCACACACGATATCGCACCAAAGATACATCCACAGCCGGTGACGGTGTTTCCAAGCTGAAAACAGTGGAGCCAATAATACCCTCGGCCACCGTTCAGCGAAGATACAGAATGCTCCAGAAAGCAAGATAATATATGTAAGAAAATCAAGCTCAGACTTTCTTGAAAAATCAAGCTCAGACTTTCGTGAAAAATGTGAAAAGCGGATAAGAAACACACCTCAATGTGAGTCACCAAGTGTGGAACGTCTAAAATATGCAACTGAGTGCAGTGCAGCCCCAAACCATTAGAGAGAGGATAAGAAATAAGAAACGGCCGTTATCTGCAGGTGTCCACCGCTTGCCCCGTGGGTGTAGTAACTGGTGTTTGTCTGGGTGGTGACGAGAATGACGTCAGAGGATGACAGTCTTGATTTCTACCCAAGGCCGAAGATATGCAATGAAAGCGCAAGAACCCACGGCAGATTGCCTCGTTGGAGACGAGGACCTGTGACGGCTGCAATATGGGCGCCAGAAACTATCCATTACAAGAAACAAATTATATCGTACAAGGCCCAACATGTAAGAAACTGCGAATAACAACATATTCGCCTGATTGAGAGCGAAGTATCTGATTGAGAGCGAGAGCCAAAAAAATTGAAATTTCGGGTCCAGACGCCTCTTGCCATTTCTTGGCAAGTAGGGGACGGGCTATTCCAAGAAGCGGTGCAAATTGAAGGTCTCATCAGCAGCTTCGCGAGCATATGCGTGTCATCGTCATCGGATGCTGCAGCGAGGAGCTAGACAAGTTGCTAGATTTGCCCAGATTGGCTATTTCTGCTCAAACTGTTTCAGGGCGGTATCGCGTCGGGCGGTGGGCTCTGCTGTAGCTTCTGCTCCCCGCTGTAGCTCCACAACGAGAGACTCCCACAGGATGACCAGGGTAGCGGCTTGAAGCTACGGGCTAGCCCTTCAATTCAAGCTACACAGCAAGCTCCACCTCTCAGTGGTAGTCCGGCTACAGCGTATCGCGCAATCTCGCTCTCAATCAGATGCTACGCTCTCAATCAGGCGAACATGTTGTTGAATAAGAAAATCAGCACCGAAGGCTTGTATTTCGGCCGAAAATAGGATTTGAGGCTCAGCCCATATTTTACGTTTCAAACTTGCGGGCGCCTTCTGTAAAACACCCTCCGCTAGAGTTTTGCGGGATACAGCCAAGGATCCCCTGTTACGTCTCGGTTGATAATGGTTGCGACACCACACATACCAGAACCTAACCCAGCGCAGCTATGTGCGGGAAAACCCGTGCATGGATCGGTGACTACGGCATACAGTAGTGACTTTCGCGTGAAAAATCGTTGTTGCTTGTTGAGACGGTGCAATAGTCCAAACCTGAAAGACACACAAAGTCTTCAACTACCGATAGGATATCTGCCATTCAAGTTCCAATCTCGAGCCGTCCGTTACAGAAACAGCTGTGAGAGGCCGAACCCGCCGCGAAGCGTTAACGGCGTGGACTTGATCTAAGGCGACTCAATGGTACGGCTGCGGTGAACGTCGGTAGCGTTGGAGTCAGCGTTGGTTCCACGCCAGCACCGTTCGTTGTCCTCACGGAAATGGGGTCGTGACGCTTTTGAAAGGGCCCCCACCGTAGGGAGCGGGGGAAGCCAACGATGGCAACATAATCCCTCACAGTGAAACTCTCCATTGCAGGGGAAGCTAAAAACCTCCTTGACGATGCGTGGGGGCTTGCGTGGCAAATCCTCTCCTACGCTTGAAGGCGTGCCTGTATTACTAGTCCGAGGGCGGTGGGTGATGTTGCTACGGGTAAACATGCCGTTCCTTTGGCCACACAGTTGTAGATAGAGGGCCACCGGCAGCTCATATGCGCCGACTGTTCACCCAGCGAAGTTTCACCGGCCGGGGATTCACCAGCCGATGTATGCACGTCGTGCAAACGGACCGACGCACCGGTAGTGTGCAGCTGTTTCGATCATGACAAGGGGCTCACAGGAAAGGGAGCACCCTGCGCCCGCCCTCGATTCCTGTGCTGTTTTTTTGTTCGCGCGCGAATGTGGACATATGCCCTCCGTTCGCGGGCCATCGACAGCTTCATCGTGGCCTCGGCCGCCAGGCCGTCTCCGAGCAGGTCCCCGTTGGTATCTCTTCCAAGTGGAAGCGATCTGGCAGCCGATTTCGTTTTCACTACTTTGCCGTTGGTGATAGTCTTCGAGGCGGATGCGTTTATCGGCGACCCGGCCACGGTGTCCGGACCTTGTTGTCATCAGCGGAGGGCTTTGGTGGTATCGGTTGTGGTGGCGGCGCTGATGCTGATGACAAATTGCATAGCGCCGACTTGGACACTGAGAGGGGCCGGGACGAAGCCGGCCCGAGACAAAGGGTTGAGGGTTGGAGGGAACCGCACACGCCATCCAGACCCCAATGTCGCTGTTCGGCAAGGTACTCTCGCGTGACCTCGTTCGTTGGTCTGGTGCAGGGAAGTTTCCCTGCAGGGGCCTTTTCTGGACTATTTCGACACCAACGACCCTCATCCTTCGCGCGACTAGCAGCGGTAGCTTCCGCAGCCTGCTCTCGCCTTCCTTCTACCCGGGAAGACCGGGTGGTGGGGCTGATTCGAGGTTATGGAAGACCTAAGCTACCTACTATGTTGAAATCATATCCGGCATGGCAGCACCATTCACATTGACTGGTGAAGGCGATGAAGACCGTGTCGAGCGCCGACAATCCATACGTACCCGGCGAACGATACCTGGCAAAGACGATTCTACCCTAATAAAGGTGTTCGAATTCCCATGACCTCCCATGCTATCTCTGAAACTCCGCTCCGTGACAAGTTTGTTTTCACGCATCCTTGCTCATCCACAAGTTTTTTGCATATTTTTATTAAGGGGATCGCAAACGAACGCTCTTTTGTGTTGTTCATACCACTGTTGCTCAAGAATGAATCAACACTCCGGCAGAACACCCCAAATGAACAACACTCTCAACATGAAGCACATGCACAGTACAAGTCAACCAATGGTATGCGCAGCCTGATGTTCTATCAATTTCATGCTCCACCTGGGTGCTGTCTGTCTCGCCAATCGCATTAATTCACTACCCCCCCTCCCTTTGATTGCCACGGTGCAGGGGCATGTTCCGATGGCAGCCCCTGAGACCATTGTGGCCATTGATTTCGGAACTACGCGCAGTGCTTGGGCGTACCAAGTCAGTGGTCAAGCGGACAACACGATTTTGGTCAAGATTCTTGCAAGTGCAGACACTTCGGCATCCTCCACCAAAACAGAGACAGTAGCTCTTATTGGGGGGCGTGGCAGCGGAGACTTAATCGCGTTCGGCCCCGCAGCGATCGACGAGTATGCCGCCAGTGATAATCCGGATGACCAAGCATTGTTCCGCTGGTTCAAGCTCGATCTGTGCGAATCCAGACCAGACCACACGGATTTCGCCAGTGTCATGACTGAGTCTGTAGAAGCGCGGCACACCGTGCCCTTGCTTGGTGTCATGACAGCTTCACTTCGCTACTTCAAGGAAGACGTCCTCGGGTGTCTGTCGCGCACTGGCGGCAGAACGGTTGACGTAAACAGGGTGAACTGGGTGCTGACTGTGCCGGCCATTTACGATGACTTCGCCAAGCGGTTTATGCGCCAGGCCGCGTTCGAGGCCGGGATGATTGACCGAGTGCACTCCACTAGGCTGCGCCTTTGCCTGGAGCCAGAAGCCGCGTGCCTTGCAGCAATTGTGAAAGACAATCCTTTGACCAGCGACGCAACAGACAAGAAGATGATGGTTATCGACTGCGGGGGGGGCATTGTAGACATTACGGCGCACAAAATCATATCCGTTGAGCCTCTAATACTGGACGAGGTGGCCGCACCTGACGGGGGCCTGTTTGGATCAACCCGCGTGGACCATGCGTTCAAGGTGTGGCTGAAGGAATTCCTCGGCGACAAATTCCAGGGCATCCAGACAACCAGGACACTCGTGTCCATCATGTCGAGTTGGGAGAGCAAGAAGGCCACGTTCCAAGGGACCGACTCGGCGGCGGGGTTACGGTTGAACTTTTCAGAACTTGCAGAGTACGACGTGACCATCCAAGACATGGAGGTATGATGCATTTTTGCTGATATTTGCCAATGAAGGGTTTCGTTCACACGAGAGCGAAACTCCATAAGAACTTTCCACTCTTTCATACACTTTTTTCGGGGTAGCGAGGGTTGCCCAAAACAACAAAAGCGCCTGCAAGATACCGATAAACTGTAATTCATGCTACCGCTCGCGGGCCTCTGCACGGCACAAAATAATTGTCTTGTCGGGTAGTCTCTTTCCGGTTTTCAAAATGTATTCCCACTACCTGAACATTTTTTTTTTCTGTTTTAACTTCAAATCAGCGCTCAAAGTGCCGTTTACTCCATCCGACCCGTGGTAACACAGAAGAGCCCCTCCCTACCCTCCCCTCCCGTTGTACTTTGTCTCCGATTATTAATGCGAGAAGAAATCATTCAGCACTCTATTCCCTCTGTGTACACACGAATTAGCGCTATCCACTAGGCTAGGAGCGGAAGCGAGAGAAACACTCACTTTGGAAGAAAAGCTCGCTTACGCCGGGATTCCAATCCCTGACCTGACCTCTAGAAGGTGTCGAGGATACCAACTACACCACCGGGGCGACCGGCTTATGGCGAACGAATTCGTGTTCCAAAGCGAATCTGCGAGGTGTTGTCGTATGTGCTTTACCTCGCCGATCACCCCGCCCGGTGGTCGAAGACCTGTGACGCTTCCCGGCAAACGAAAGCACGAACCAGGGTGTTTGTCTCATTCCTGCTGATGAAATAGTGGCCCGCCTCGGTCGGTTCCGAGCATTTAGGCTTCGTAGAAAGTGAATCAATTCGAGTTCGACCGCAGTCAGCGACATGATCCCCACACGCAGGAAGCATCACAATGTAATCGATGCTGTATGAGACCACATCAAACGTCTCTATAGAAGAAGCTGATTCCGTCCCGTCTTCATTATCACCGCCTTTTCATATCTTTCAGAACCTGCGTACGAGCTACAACGATGGGAAGCCCCCGTCGCTTCATGTCGGGGGCGGGAAGTTCAACGTTACTCTGCCGACGACACTGGTGACTTCATTTTTCGAGCCAACTCTGGATAAAATCGCTGAATGCCTTCGGCGTATCAAGCGGGAGTCGTCGCTGCACGACCTTTACAGAGTTTTCGTCGTCGGGGGGTTTTCGCGCTGCCCCATGTTGCGGGAGGTGGTTAGGACTGGGCTCGACTTACCAGCGGGTCGTGTGGTGTTAGTGCATGAGCCAGACCTCGCCATCGTGAAAGGGGCCGTCATGTACTTCAATCGGTCGACGATATTCAACTCGCGGAAGGCTAGATACACGTACGGGACCAACTGTGTCGTTCCATTCAACGACAGTATTGCGGAACACCGGCGCCGCCGCGCAGCCGGCATGTGTGCCACCCACAACGGTAAGACGTGCTTACCCAACGCGTTCAGCGTGTACATCAGAAAGGGAGACGACATTCCAGTGGGCGGCATCTTAAAGCGACGAAGTTACATTCCGTTGAAGAATTCCCAACAAGCGATGTCTTTCCCCGTCTACGGTAGTTCCGAGAGGAATCCGAGTTTCGCGGACGAGAAAGGCTGTTTCGAGGTCGGGCGAGTCTCGTTCGCGCTGGACATGACCAAACAGTTCGAGAAGCGCGGAATAATCGGAGAGGTCACGTTCGGAGGACCGGAGTTGATAGTAAAGATACTGGATTCGGAAGAAAGGGAGATGACGGATGGAGTCATGACAATGTCACGGGCACCAGCACCGACGTATTAAGCGTCGATCGGCGCGAAATCAACCGGGGGGGTGAGGCCCCAGCCAATACCCGACACACGACGCGGGTCCTTTGCTTGCCAATCGTGTCCCTTTCCGTGTCATCACTTTTCTTGTACGTTTGATTGTTTCGTTGTATCTCTTCTATCCTCGTCTTCAACGAAATACTTATTGTTGCCTGCTCTACAGTAGTGCATTCACTAGCGTATGATCTTGCTTCTTGTCCTTGTATTTCGACGTATGTGTGTGGGCCGTGGAATCTTGGTCGGAAGACCGTTGAGGTACCATGTGCTTCAATTTCTTCTTTGATTTGCTACTAATAACGTTTGTGAAACTTTGTTTCTAGGCCTTGCATATAGTTCATTTTTTCTTTGCCCCTTCGGCGAGTTTTGTGCGTGCTTTCTTCCTGTGTCTTTCTTGTGATTTTCCATTTTACGAGGTGTTATTTTTCTCTATTGTTTTCGCCTTTGTCGCCTTGTGTGCCTTCGTTGCCTTCTGTGTCTGCCATCAAATGGCTGGGTCCCTACGTCCTGTCGACTATGCATGCTTTGCATTCAGGCTCCATTCATTGCGGTTGGGACATACATTCTGCGTTAGGCGCTCCACGTCCTGCTTTTTGGGCAGAGACCTTTCTTCCTTTTGCTTCACGGGTGGCCAGAGGGCAGGTTGTGGGTGGGTTGTGGGCATCCACAAGGTAGGGGCAGGTTGTAGAGGGGGGTTGGGAGGAGGCCCCAACCTTGGTCAAACGGCTTGGTTGTACAAGGACGGATGCGGAAAGTTGGGAGGCAGCCACAACGTCAGGCCACACCTCTTGGTTGTGCAAGCACAGATCACACCGGTTGGGGGGCATCCACAACCTGAGGTCACACTGTGCGCAAACGGAGACTGACTGTGTTTCGCGGGCTCTGTTATGCGCATGGAGGACAGTCGCCTCCCCAAGCGCATGCTGTTTGAAGCGATGCCGGGGTGCGTGGGATACCGGGGCGGGCAGGAGAGCGACTGGGTGTCTCGTCTAGGAGAGGACCTCGTGGCCTTCAACATGGGAGACGAAAAGGAAGGGGGGAAATGGAAAGAGAGCGCCAAGGACCCGGAGGTGTGGTACAACAAGGTCGAGGACGGGGCGGCATGGCTCACGAGGAAATGGCACAGGTAGGAGGCGGAAGCGTCCGCGAATCGCCAGCGCGCGAGGGAAGCAGAAGCAGAGAGTACGGCCATCTCAGGACCGAAGAGAAAGAGAGCCGGCGAAGCGGCGGTGGGGGGGATTAAACGGCGACCGGGCACTGCTGTAGAAGCGAGTAGGGCGGCCGAGGCAGCGCTTGTGACGAACTAGGCACCCGGCAAATGCTGCTGCGCCCTGTTTCCCTCCCTGCTGTATGCTACACTCCTTTATATGTCCTTTGTATTGCCTTCGGCCTCTGTGCTGTGTTTCTTTGTTTCATCACCTCCCTGCCTACTCTGCTGTGTTGGGTACCTTGATCTCGCTTTGCTGTTGCCTTTGTTTTTGTACGTCTGGCTGTCTGCCCATCTGCCGCCTCTTCGTCCTGTTTGCTCCGTTACTCCCATGCCCTGGTGCGTAGTGCCTGGTGCTGGTACGTTACCCTTTGATTTTTTCTTTGGGCGGGTGTGGGAAGGGTCCTCCTTTTTCTTTATTTTTGTTTTGTTTTATTTTGATCGGTTTCCGAGGGCTCTTTTCTCGAACGGTCGGTGCGACACCTGTTCTTTTCTCTCTATCATTTGGTTTTTTTTTTCCGAGTGGTTTGTACCCTACAGTATCTATTTTTGTTTTGTTTCCCCGCGGCGTCGTATGTGCCGGGCTTTGAGACCACGGGCTCCCCATTTTTTGTGGACTAAAGAGCTGATGTGAGAAACAACAACAGTTAACAACAACAACAAACCTCTTGTGCAAGCACCGATGATACAGGTTGGGGGGCAGCCACAACCTTAGGCCAGACCTCCTGGTTGTGAAAGCACCGATGATACAGGTTGGGAGGCGGTCACAACCGAAGGCCAGACCTCCTAGCTGTAAGATTGTGTCGGTTCGGCGGTCCTGGACTTGTCTAGACTAGACTACCGTATATGACACAAGATAACGCACCCCCTTGACCGATTTTCGAAGCTCGGTTTCTCAACTGCAGGAACAATCACAGCGCCGAAAAAGACGGCGTTGAAACCGTTTTGTCGAGAGCTTGTGGAAAATGTATCATTTCGTTTATGCATCCTCTTCGTCGTGGAGTAATCGAGCATTGACAATCGGTCCAGGGGGTGTCTTATCTTGTGTCATATACGGAAGTCTAGTCTAATAATGAATTTTGTTTTTTCCGGCTGAACAAAAACGCAAAAATATTCGTCTCCAACTATGAGACTGTTGTCTCCAGGTTCGCGTGTGAGCAAGTTCCCTTAGGGATGGGTGGTGTGGATACACACCGAATCAACCTCTGGTGGAGAGGCTGATGTACGGAACGTTGAGTCGAGTGTGTGTGTGAGGCAGGTGGGGATCAACCTTGTGTNCAGGTCATCTGACGTCACAATCTACGACGGTCTGAGGTGGCATTCACATCACCCCCCTATCTTCAATCTCGGGGCCTGAATCCGGATTGAAAGATACAACAATGACATAAATACCTCAGATTGTATGAAATTGTGAAGTACTGATGAAAAACATGAGTTGAATGACTTGGGCCGAAACGTACGGCGACTGCCATCATTCAACGAACGCTTTGTGTTTTGTAGTTATGAAATTTGGAACGTGTCACCAAAATATCTCATCCGAGCATCGATCGTACATAGCGCAGTCACCACTACAGCTTGCACGAGAGCAATTCAGGAATTTTGGCAACTATTCCCGTACGACGAACGAATAACTACACAGATGAAAGGTGTACGGAACATGTCACTTCAGTCCGCATCGGCGCTGTAGGCAACATGTGATCTACCGTACGACAAACGACGTGTGTACAGAAAAAAACATCACTCCGGTGCGCGTCGTGCACCAATAGTGTAAAAAAACTGTACAGTAGTACCTTGAGACAACGCCGT